GACAGTACGCGCCATCACGCGCTCGCGTAAATATGGATTTTTTTTTCACTGCTAGTAAAACAAAATCTTGGAATTTGTTGTGTTTTGATTGTAAAAAAAAGCCTTATACATCACAAAACTTTAACAAAACTTTGTGTCGTCCAATTCGTGGTTAAACAAATCGGACTCCTGCTACGCGGTCGTCCGATTTTGTTAATCACCCGTATGATTAAAGACTTATGGTACTTATGGTACTGTAGTGAGCAATGAGGCCTTCACCTAAAAGCAGGCACATTATTCATTACAGACTGTACAAGAGTTTTGTAGTACATTACCCTTGTACGGGATGTTTTTTTTTCTTTTTGTAATGGTATAAAATGGACACTGTAATTAGAGTAACTTTTGCTACTGCATGAAACGAATTCGTGCGAACGTAACCTTTTTAGCCATTGATACTTTTGTTCCATTGCTACTTTGTTGTAAAGAGATAGAAGAGAATCAAAGAAAGAGGAAATATTAAAGAAAAGAAAAAAAGGGGGAGGTTGCCGAGGGGCCTTGTCAAGGCTTGTCCCCAGTGTTTTTCCCAAAAAAAAATGGCCTTTTCCCACCCCGTATTTTAAAAGCAATAAAGATGAAAGTTACTTAAGCCTAACATATTAAAATACCTCTTATCTCGCGTAGTATAGACTTGCGTCTGTTCATATAATCACTCCGTGAAATTAATAAGAGTTTCTACTCGCTAGATTCGTTTTACAAAAGTTATAGAAAGAAAAGTGTGAGATTTACTGACACTCGTGTCCAGGCTTACTCTTGTTATTAGAATACAGCTTTTAGTGTATGGTCAAACCATAGGCCTTTCCACTCAAATCCGGATATTTTTGAAAACGGATATTTTCGAAAAAAATACGCCTCCATATGTCGTATGTTGCGTACCTGCGTATCCACTTGAAAACGCCTAATTATAAAAGGATGGAAATACGATAGCATCCCTTACAGAGCATGCGTAATGCTACGAGCACATGATGTCTGAGATCATTGTACACGAAAACCTCCGTTTTCGTTCATCTAAATGTGAACGAGAAGCAGGCGTTTTCAAAAATCTCCTCCCTGGGATCCCGCGTTTTAAAAACTTGCTCGTTTTGGTGCCCGAAAACGCCGTTTACTAGTAGACGGAAAGCTATAACGAAGAAAAAAAAATGTCCGTTTTAAAAAATATCCAAATACATGTGGACGGAGCCTTATGAGTAAACAGCAGAAGCAGGAGCCCATATTCCGGAGCGAGCAACTTCCAAGCGGTCGTATCATGGCGTTTTTACGGACCAGTCTACTTTAAGAACGGTTTTGGCACGAATTTTGAATATCTTTTAAATTCCACAAACCAGTCAGCAAAACCTACAGACCTAAACATGATATCTTTTGGCTTTTAATAACGTTTCGTTTTCCTTTTTGATATCCTAGGCGTGTTTCAAACGTCGTGCTACTGCCGTGCTAAGCTTGCTCGACTCCGGTAGCTCGACCGCAGCACGACACTTACTAGCACGACTTCGAATTTAATTCAGTCGAATAGAACGGCTGTTGCCGAATACATAACGCAAAAATAAAGAAACGGTTTAGCAAACTTTTAAATACATTCTAATGTATTTATAATTTATGAATTGAGTTCGGCACGGCGGTAGCACGACGTTTGAAACGGGCCTTATACTTCGAATGCGCTCACAGACGTGGTGGGGATTCTATTTTCGCGGGAAAAAGTGCCCTAAAATGTGTCTAAAAATAAACTGGTCCGTAAAAACTCCCTGACATATGCCTAGTATTGGAGTTGCTCGCTCCGGGTTATGGGCTCCTGGTAGAAGTCATTCACCCG